CCATCTCTTCTCACCCTCTCGCCACCTGACTTCTCAGACTACGACAGAGAGAGAAAGAGTTGTGACTTGAGACTTGACGACATTGGATCCAGACTGGACATTGGGATTCAGACATTTCGACGAGGGACTATTTGGGCCTGTACCGAGACTTGGTGTTGACGACATTCCCATCTTCCCTCCTCTTTCGTCTAACCCCTCCTTCTTCGTCTGTGTATGGTTGGGGCTGGBGCAGTCTTCTTGTGTGAAGCGCCAGACCCCCTTCACACCAGATAACGATGATGATGATGTGTGTTCAGAGCTGCATTGCAATATTGATTGTTCGGATCTTTCGTATCTAAGTCTTCCGCTGTGTTATCTTGTACTTTGTATTGAGAGGTCGATTCTTGTTCTGGTCTGCACGTTACAGTATGCAACAGCTGGGCTGGAAGGCGTTCTCACGAATAGAACAATTGTCAGGACAACCAATGGCTGGCTGATGCAGCGACCACTGTGTGTCTGGAACCTGGCCTTTATAAATTATTAAAAAAAAAAAAAAAAAACAGAAAAAACAATTATTGAAACTAGATAGATCGATGACTGGGGGAAGAGGGACTCAACCCCCCCCGAAATATGAATTATGACTCCACTGTTCTAAGTTCTAAATTTCTAAACTATTCTGCCTTAAACCAATCATATATGTCTTGATTCTTGATAGAAGTTCTTTTTTTTTTAACAACATCTTGATCAAAGATTGTATGGTAAGGCTGTTTTCATTTTGGATCTACTCATCTGGGTGGAAAAGCGGTTGCGCTTGTGTCAGCCGAAAACAGACACACACACACACACACACACACACACACACACACACACACACACACGAGTCGGTGAAAGTCCGACGAAACAGTCTGGTACAGTCGTGCTTTTTTTGAGTGTATAGCGAATATGACAACACACACACACACACACACACACACACACACACACACACAGAGGACAACCAAAACACTGTCTAATTATAAAATTGCTTTAATATGTTGGACTGTGACTGTCTCATCTCAAATGCTCTCGTTTTCTGCAATAGGACAAAGACTGCTTTGATTCTGAATCAAGGACACACATCCACAGACATCCACACACATCCACACACCTCCACACAAAGGGGTACCCCAAAGAAAGCCGCCATGTAAAGAAAGCAAATCAAGGACATGGAGGTAAAGCTGTTTCAGTTTTGGCTCTGCTCATCTTAGTTTGCTTCATATTGCTTATCATAGAGGTGAAGCTGTTTCAATCTTTGATCTGCTCATCCCTGGGTGGGAAAGGGGTTGTTGTGGTGACAGGTTACGACACACAAAGGAGGATAGGCTGTAGCCCTGACCGACTGGTCAGGGCATGTCTGCAGAGGGCCCTCACTTACAACCATTGACGCAACTGTGTGCGCATGAATGTGTCAAAATGCATACATTGCATGTGAAGAGGAGACATATGAGATACTGGCGGATGAGAACTACCTACTGATGCTCGCTGGAGAAGTCTGCTGACACTTCATGACGCCACTACACTCCCAAAAATAAGTATAACATTAGCACAGACTTACACAGTAATAATAATCCAATATTGTATTATTGTTTTATAAAAAAATATTCACTTGCGACAGGTGCTAAGGTATGCGCTAGTGTTCGGCATCTGCATGGGATCGACTTAAACCACCACCACCCCCAGGGCTCTTTTCGCTGGTGAGGATTCCCCTTGTGTGCCAACCTTTGCCGAAATGCCACAGCAGCATCTTTTATTCTTTAGGCTGCTGCCGCCAGCCATTTTGGTCCAGTAGCACTGTTCATCCGGGAGAGGTAGGTTACATTTTCTATTGTCGACTGTGCCTGGGAGAGGTAGTGGTGGTTTAAAGCAGGTCCGTGCAGATGCAGAATACCCATGTTTGCTGAACCAAAGGGGAAATCTTTGTGTCAAATTGTGTATCTGTAATATTCCCCTTCGTTTGAGGGAGGTCCAATGGTTCCAATCAAATTGTAGAGAAAAATATAATTACATGGCTGGCAGTCGTCCAATTGGAGTTTCCGGCCCCAACAAAAAGTATGGATTAAGGAGCTGAGGATTTGAAATAAGGAGGTAATTTGACAGCTTGTATTTTTCTCCTGTGATTGTAGTTTGCAACTTTTTGTACTGAGTGTCCATCCAAGGCTTTTACATCATTTTTGCTAAACCACCACCACCTCCGAGCCTGTTTTTGCCGACCCTGATTTTCACTGCGTACCGAGTTCTGCCGAGCCTGGGTTCCGTTTTGTCTCTTTTCTGGCACTCTTGTGAAAAAAAAAAAAAAAAAAAGCACAGCCAGACATTAAAAAAACAACGTGCTCACAACCACAAAAAGGAAAGGAAAAAAAACAACCCTTGGACGTGATACCAGGTAGATACCTACCGCAAAGTAGTTGTGTAAGTATGCCCTCAATGAGGGCGTTAGAACGGAAGATGAGAAGACACTTGGGATCGACTCCTTCCCTAAGGAGTTCTGGGTGCAGTTCTGGCACCTTCTCAAAGAGGATCTTATGGAATATATCCTAGCTGTCTAGAGGGAGGGCTTTCGGAGGCATGATTGGGCTAGAGGTCACCACGCTCCTCTACAACAAGGAGGCAATGAAGATATTAGAAACTATAGGCCTATCACGCTCCTTCCTGTGCCCTACAAAATGGTTGCAAAGATGGTGACTAGACGGCTGTTGCCACTGATGAATGTACTGATCCACCCAGATCAGATTGGAATTATGTCTAACCGCAATATCCAAGATAACATTCTGCTAGTCATTGAGACTATAAAGTATGCCCGGCAGCGTAAGGTCCAAGCGCCTATTATTTGTCATCGTTATGGAGGCCCTAGCATCACTCGTCATAACTTAACCCATGATCAACAAAGTGTCCATCCCTGAAATCCCTAACCACCTCATTTTGGTGACGTCACTGTTCGTAGATGACCTCACTGTGCTCATCCGAGCAGACGCAGATAGCATACATGCCCTCAAACACGTTATACATCTTTTCTCACTAGTGGCAGTTATGAAGGTCAATTGGGGTTCCAAGATAGAGGGATGGTGACTCCAGCCACAAGGAGAACCCCCCCCGCAGGAGCCAACTGTAGCCTGGGCATGAAAGGAAGAGGCCATTAGAACTTGGGGTGAGACTCACTGCGGTTGGGCCCCCACCTGATATGCTGGTGAACATGGCAATAGCCCGACTAGCTAAATGGGATGGACTGCACATGTTGCTGGTAGGGAAGACCTTGGCCATCAATAATGCCACTTTAGCGGCCATTTGGTATAAATTGGCAGTTTGGTCACTAAAGCCACAACAATACGTCAGACTCAAGAAAGCGCTTACGACGTACCTTTGGAAAAATAATTCTGAAACATCGAGATGTATACAGTGGGGGGCGTGTGATGTCCTCACGCAGCTAAGGGGCAGAGGGGGGTTGGGGATACTAGGCCCGGAGAGGGAGAGTGAAGCGCTGATCTTCAAGGTTTTGGTCGGCTGCTTGTAGGTAACGATATCCTCTGGGGTCCGCTGGCCTACTTGCAGATAGCCAACCTGGCACCCGAGATGCCAGCGACCAAGAAACTACATCCCTTCCGATGGCTAACCAATAAGTACTGGGCAATACCCTCCCACCCTCAATAACGACAGGCGAACAGCCCGCAGCAGGCACCCAGAGCAGACATGCTTCTGGACCCCTTGTGGCCGTACATGCTCAAACAATGGAGGAGATGCTGCCCGCAGCAGAAACAGCCTCCCAACAGAGGCAAGACATTTAGAGGCAGCCGTTGTACGGCAACCCATGTGTGTTGGACGGCGACGGAAACCCATTTGTCCTCACAACATGGGGAGCTTACGTGGGCCAAAAGTGGAGTTTTCACAATGGGGACCTATGGGACCCAATGACAGCAGACTGGGCCACGATTGACCAACTGCAGTTGAGACTTAAACCTGTTAAGAATGTGGGGGAGAAGGCGATTAAGCTGAGAGAGGCCTTCCCCCTGGCCTGGCGACTTGCCGCCCCACAATGGTGCAAGACGACTGGGTGGTTAAGTACATGGACATGCCCTACCTGCATGCCATATATAGGGTACACAGCACTGATGCAGGGCGCTGCACACTACAAGGTCAGAGGGATATCGCAAGGGCTTTTAAACCTAAAAAAAAAACAAAAAAAAAAAAACAAAAATCATGCCCACGAACGTTAGAGTGCTTCAATGGCAGATCCTTCATCGCTGTCTACCCACGCTCGACTGGCTTGTTTCCAGAACAAACCTCGAGCAGAAAGGGCTTATGTCTCTTATCTGCACTTTTTGCGGCAGGTCAATGCCGCCGGCCCGAGCAATATTGGAACACTGCCTGCTGGTGTGCCCTATGGTGGGATGCTGCCTTCCGCGCCCTCACGGGGGTGCACATCCCGTGGGATCAGGGGCTCCTGCTGCTGGGCTGCATGTCCTGATGCTGGCCTGGAGAGCCATATGTTCTTTTGAAAGAAGAGACCATCAATTTGGACTGCAGCAAGCCCAACAAACAATTGAGGAGGTGGTTAGGTCTTATACACCGGAAGCCCGAAAATCCTTTGTAAGGCATTACAGGGAGGAGAAGGACTCCATTGTGAAGGAGGTCATCCGAGAGGCCTATCGCCAGCTCTGGCATGACCCTCACCACATCTTTTTCTGAGCTTGACACCAGGCTCAGCAATCAGCGGACGTTGTGGAGGAGGACAAAATCCTCATGGCAACGAAGACCCTTCCACTATTTCGACGTCCCAACCTTCACCCTAACTTCGTTCTCATCTCATATCATAACATAACAGAGTGTCTGCTTGATGCTCACCCACCCCTCCACTGCTGCCTGCCCCATACACTTCCTCCCCAAAGCCTGGCAGACATTCTTGTTCCATGTGGTATTGCCCTTTCGCCCCTCCCCCTTCAGCACCCTCGCCACCTTGTCCTGCCCCCCCTCCCCCCTCCTCTTTCCCCCACCCGGCCCCTGTTCCCTCCCTTAATCACTCGGTGGAACTGGGAGGCCCGACGAGCGGATGAAGTAGCAACCACATGGGAATGCTGACCGATTGCAAATCTAATCCAACAGAGTAAAACTGCTACAGGGAGGACGATCGACAACGCATCTGGCAGGCACACTACACAAGTGGCACCATTTCCAAAAGATGCAAAGGTGACGGAATGCAATGGTTCCCCCTATTGAGGATATCCCCGGCTTGAAGTCTACATCGACTGGAGGAGGGCGGATGATAGGTTGGTTGCTTGCAGAGCCCTCTTCACATTGGGGCAAGGTCTACGCAATCAGTTGGAGTATCGGTATGGATTGCTGGCAACTGAAGATGATTGCAACGAAAACACAAATAACAACAGCAACATCAGCTACAGCGACGTCAAGTATGGGGTTGGTGCCAACAATAACAATCATGGGCGGGGCGACGTCCAAGGCTGCGCCATGATGGGAGTGATGCTGCAGGTGGACGCGGAAGATACGGGAGATGTCAACAACGACAACAATTGTGACGAATCGATTTCTGCACCGCGGGATTTTATGCGCGATAGCAATGAGGGGTCATAAGCTGGGAAGGATGGGCCAATTACGGGAGATTGGGATGGATGGGAAATTGCATCGGTGTCCTCGCTTCTTCGTCTTTTTGCGTCGGTTCCTTTCGGAGGGCTGGTTCAGGCCCGGGTGGGCCCCGGGACGATCGATTGGTTGATTGGCTGAGTGAGTGGCGCGCTGTCATGCGCGCGATTCATAAATGTTGACGCCGCTTCTTTTTGTTTCGGGCTCGGACTTTTTAGGCGCGGACATCGCGCGGGAATTTTGCTTCGTTCTTTTCAAAATTCCTTTTGAATTTTTTTTCTTCACATCTTGCCGAGCCATCCTGATGGCTCTCGGAATTTCGGACTTCCTTTTCGGAGTTTGTGCTCTTTGCATTTCCGCATTAGATAGAAATTTAGGAATTTTACAATTAGGATCTTCTTTTGGCGCGCAGCGCTTTTTGCTTACGCGCTTCTCAGTGCGGCTGCGATGGAACTTTGATTAGTAGGCGCCTTTAATCGGGTGTGTAACTGTAATTTTGGGTGGGCGCCATTGTAACTGTATCTTTCTTCTTGTGCTTCATCTTTCCCACCTTCGCTTCTTGTGACGTCTAGCCCGCCCGCGGGCTGCATGATCGGATCGACGGGTGGAGAGAGGCAAAGTCCCACACGCCGCGGCCCAATCGCGCAAAACGCAGGCGCTCCCTCTCTAATCTTCTCTCTAAGTCCCTGTAATTCCATGTTCTTCGTGCATGCATGCACGCTATAAATTCCGACTGCGCGATTAGTTAGCTCTCTTAACTAGCTGTTGGAAGCTCGGGGTAGCACGATCAGTGAGGGTCGACTCACGAGCGAAGTAAGAGGTGAGTTGAAGTGGGAGTCGGGTGCCCCAAGAGCTGGTGCCAAACGCGCGGGGTTGACGTGGGCCACGATGGACTGTGGGCGCGGGCGAACCTGACAGGTGCGGGGGGACTAAGCGGGGTGTTGACTTCGCGGGTTGGTGCACGACGACGGACTGTCCGCATCGAAGAGAGAGAGAGAGAGAGAGAAAGAGGGAGTCGAGGTTGATGGACGCGGATTTGCTGTTTCTTTTGTCTTTTCTCCATCTCTGTTGGTGTATATAAGTTTTGATTTCGGATCAGGGCGATTTGCCCGTTTTTGTTTCCGGAATCTTGGCTTGGATTTCTTTCGTCCACACTTGTTTTGGGGATTTCAATCTCTGATGTTGTGTGTTATGCTGCATGAATGGATGTCGTGTCCGCTTGCTTTCCTTACGCCTGATTTTTACCTTTGCTTATCGTTTTGATGCACTCATGAGGAGGGTAGGAATTTTGCGTAGTCATCAATACTGTTTCTATTCTTGTTCACCCATTGATTGAGCTGTTGTGATTGCTGCATCTTGCATGCTAAAAAATCATGGAGTGATTAGATGATCGGGTAGCTGTTTGCCCAGAAACCAGAGAACGCCTCGCAGGGGCGCGCGTAAGTGCGATCTGATCTGCTCACTTACACGTGTTCACGCGCGTCGATTCTTAAACAACCACACATAAAAAGGCTAACGATTGCGGGGATATTGCTTGATTGGATGTGGCCATCCTGCGTCGGCAGCGAAGCAATCATCCCGTGTGAACACGTGTAAGCGCGACTCGATTCGCGCGGCCTACACGTACTCACATGCGGTGATCGCAATCGACGAAGACACGGCCTTAGGAATTTCGCGGCTCTACGATGACATAATGACACGCTCCGGGAGCTCGGATTCGTCGTACGACCCGGAGTACTTCACCCCTTGGATTGAGGAATGCCTCCGACAGAGGTTTCCCTGCCTAACCGAGAACCGACTATGTCCTAGGGAGTTCCATTGTGCCACAACCAGCGATCCATGGTGTTCTGATTTCCCCACTTCGGACTACACGCACTATTTCATTTCCCCCGGTTTTGTCGTTATCTCCACTAATTTCCCTCCCTTCCGTCTTCTTCTCCCGTATCATCAACTCAGAGTTGTCCCGTGGAAGGCCATAGCCCCATATGGCCCCGCACGCCCTGCGGAAATTGTCGGCGACGTGGCAACCAGAGAGCCTCGGAAGCCCGAGGGCCTAACCCGAACGTACGACGACCGACGCCACATGGCGACATCAGACGACCTGACTCATCAGAACCACACCCACCCCGGATGGACCTCTCGACCAACCGCCGTCGTCAAAACAGACGGATCGAACCGCCATGAAAGACGCGCGCATGCCATCTGCCTTATGACCGGAGGCGGTCCGCCCTCTCTGCCAAATTTCACCCGTGCCCCCGAAAAACTCTGCCACAGGAGATCTCAGTTCTGACATGGGACTCCACCCCCACTTTCCCAAAAACCCTTGGCACACCCCTTTTCGCACTTCCAGGCCCACACCCCACTCCGATCAGGAAGTCGCGCTGGGCGTGAGGTTGGGTGTCACACAATAACAAGAACGATGGTGTGCAGGGTTTGGGATTGGGAGAAATGGGCGAAGGGGGTGCGAAGGATGACAACAATATTAACAACGATGGCGAGAACAACAACGTCAACAACGACAACAACAACCAGAACAACAACAACGGCAATGAGGGCGGGGACGAAGTCCACAGCAGCAGCATGAAGGGTGTGCTGTCGTGGGTGGACATGGATGATAAAGGTGGTGACAACAACAATAACAACAACATCAACAACAACAACAACAACAATGATGATGATGATGGGGGAGGTGACGTTCGAGGCTGCCGCATGAGGGGAAGGATACAGCAGATGGATGTGGATGATAACAGAGACGACAACAAAAATAACGACAACAACAACAACAACAACAACAACAACAATAACAACAACAACAACATCGACTACAACAACAACAACGTTGACAGCGGAGGGGGAGACGTCCATGGCAGCAGAATGATGGGTAAGTTACCGCGGGCAGACGCGGTTGGAATAGGCGTGGACACGGGAAGCGGGTTTTCTGACTTTCTCCTTGCAATAATTTTTGGCCTCGATATGGAGTTGCTTCTCGTTGTCTGTCGGAGGATAGGAGTAGGTTAGGCAGTGATGATTGGGTTGCCCGGCCTGCAATACCAATCAACACTGGGGTGGTGACTCCTGGTGATTGCCTCGTGGGACTGGTGGTGGGCAGTTTACGCTTGAGTGACAGTTAATACATCTTACACAACATGGTATACGGATGCTAGACCCGAGTTCCTGCAGATATAAGTCATATTGCAGTAATACACATTACATTATGATTAGGGTTTCGCCTGACAGGATTGATGTCTCATTTTGTTTGCGAGGTTCTATAGATTACATCGATAGGGACGCTGGACTTGTTCCTCAGCACAAACAGTCACACCATGGCACAAGGACGCTGGACCTGATTTCCAACAGATATAGCTTAATCATTTGTATAGATATAGATTTATCATATGTATAGGGACGCTGGTCACAGTGCTGTATTACACATGACATCATTATTAGGGTTTTGCCGGATATGATTGATGTCTCATTTTGTTTGCGAGATTCTATACATCACATCGATAGGGATGCTGGGCTCGTTTTCCGGCATATACATTCACACATGGCACAAGGCCACTGGACCTGATCTCCGTCAGATATATTTTCATCATTTGTATAGGGACGCTGGATCCGATTTCCAGCAGGTGTAGCTCCCCACCAACAAATGGAGCCTTCGACGAATCGACGCTGGGGCCTACTTACCGGGGATGTTCTTATCACCTCATTAAGTAGGTTTCCCATATACGAAGTCAGCAGACAATAGCAGCCACGACATGACAGGGTCCAGGTAGGGGAGCGATGGTGTATTGGTCTTGACTGCACAGCGAGGTCTGTTACATCCCTGAAAGTTACAACTCACAATGTTCTACCACTAAAAAACAACATTGCTTGCCACCGGGAGTGGTCATCTTTTTGCTCACACGAAAAAAAGGGGGAAGGGGAGTGGTTCCTTGGTCTTAGGTCACCTAGGGTTGGCACCCAACATTCCTCTCATCTGAAGTCTGACACACTCCAACCTGGTTTCACTGTGGAAGGGTGGAGGGGTTCTCCCTCTACTGCTGTTATACTCAAGCGCCTGAAATGTTGGATCAAAGAAACTAACATTGAGGATGTTATGGGGATTGTGCTACCTGACAAGGTATCATTCCGGTCCTATTGACAAGGCCATCAAAACTGGTTCGGCCTTCAGATGGTTCACACACCAGCAGTTGCTGGAAATGTCAACAGCACGCCTTTTTGCCTGGACTCTCAGCAGGGTTCTCACTTTTATGCAGGTCTTTCTGGAGGACAATGTGCTGGAGGAGCACAACAACTAGGATCACCCTGCCTCGCTGCTTTCACTGAAAAGTATGTCTTGAGCTGAAAACAGAACTGGGCGAACCAACCAAAAATGATACCATCACACACAATGTAAGATGCTAGAGGAGGCCATCAGCCCAAGGGCCCATCAGCAGGGCAAGCTCCTCACCTGCTCCAAGTCCTCCCACCCCCCAGACGGGGATAGCAAATCCACCCCAACCTCCTCAACCCCCTCCACCCTGCTTGCGCCCCCCCTCGCCCTCAGTTTTCCCACGAGTTAGGGGGCCACCCCAATGGGCGTCCAAGTTGGCTAGAGGAGATATAGATGTCCGCTCACTTAATGTCAATGGTCTGATCCAAGCAACAACGAACAATACGCAGGCCATATGGAAGATGATAAAATGCCCAGCCACGGGGAGATGGTCGGATGCGATATATATCCAGGAAACACATCTACAGGACATCCCCTTGCACATGGCAAAGGCAAAGGCTATCTGGCCCTATGCCGCCTTTTCAGCACCTGCGAGGGATAGGGCATCCGCAGGGGTGGCCATCTGGCTTCCACGTGGCTCAAAACTCAGACCCCTGAGCATGGATAGCGACAGATAGCAAAGGAAGTGGTTATGCCTTTATTTTATTTTTTCCGCAAACTTCAAGTGCAGGAAGTCCACTTGACGAGGTGATAAGAGCATCCTCATCAAGTGACCCCTGGAGCCTTCTATTGGTGGGGAACAACACCTGCTGATAACTGGGTCCAGCGTCCCTGTACAATGATATGCTGTGTGTCCGAAAATCGATTCAACGCGCGCTGAATCCGCATTGAAAAGCCCGTTAGACGGGTTACAACGGGACCCGCGATGATTTTTTTCACGGGCTAAAAATAATCAAAACAAAAAATAAAAATATAGGTTATAGATCTTTTTTAGCTCTACAACCTCTTTTTTTTTGTTTTTTTTTTTGAGCTTTTACTATATTTTTAAAAAATCACAAACATAAAAATAAAAATAAAAAAATGTTGTTGTACATCTTTGAAATGTCTATAACCTTATATTTTTAGGTTGTTTTTTTTTTT